TCCCGCCATCACCAACTTACTATATATTCTCAAAATGTACGACTAGTCTCTGTCTTTCCCTGTCAGTACCGATGGCATTACCCATAGCATAATAGTATATCTTAGTAGAATTTACTGATCTATTAGTAGAGAATATCTTTAGCATTTATTTCGGAATTTGTGTACTCTTTGGGTAATAACTTATCTGCCTTTGTATTTCCCTTTATAAGGCTTCTTAATATCAGCTGTCAGTATATTATGTTTCTTATGTGATCTAATTTTCAAAAAATTCTTCTTTACTGTTACGTGGTTTGGGTGGGAGCTAATATGATATCGCACCAGAGATAATCGAGTATTTATCTGCCGTGTCTGTCTGCCTCCTGGTAGCATTCTCTTGTTATCTTCTATATCCTCCTTATATTCCTATGTAGCCTGCACAGCTATTGATTCACGTATTTTATTTACTGCTCTTTACGTGCGATTCTCTATTGAGTGCTTGGGCAGCTGAATCGGCTTATAATCTAGTATATATGTCCCTGTCACCATATGGAGTAGGGCATCCAATATCAAAATTGTCCTACAAGAAACTAGCACGTCCCTTTTGTCGCACCGCAATTCTTATCTTCTGTACAGTTTTGCAATGAAATACCACCTTCTATACATTGGTAGATGTTTAAAAAAAAACTGTCTCCCACCATGATAAAGACAACGAGAAAACCGTATCGGGCAGTGAGCAGTGTATGTTGCATGTCACAAAAAGCAATATAAAGCATCTTCAGCGGTTCTCAAAACACAATCTTGATCTTCAGGGTGGTGTTAATTTTACCATCGTAATGGCGCTGGGCCTAGGAACCGTCGTAGTCGCTTGGGTTGGGGCAAGTAGCCCGTTATCATCAATCGTCCAGACCTGCACTTCGTTGCTCACAGAAACCGCGATGTAGAAGAATCTACCGTCGGGACTAAATGTGCAACCCTTGGGCGAGATCCCATTGATAGTTGCAGTCTGAATGCGGCGTAGGCGACCGGACACCTCGTGTACGGCAAAAGCACTGACAACGTTATGACCGCGAACGAGTGTGTAGACATATCTTCCGGTCGGGTGGACACGGAGATCCGACAACAACACACCGGGTCCCCCGTTTAGGTTCTCTGGAAGAACATCCACTGTCCCTAAAGATCCATAGTCACCGCCCAAACTGTAAATGAATACCTCAATTATTGGGCGGTACTCATAATTGACGTAGAATATGGGCAGCGTGGGGTGGAAGGCTGAGTAACGTGGGCCACTGCCTTGCGGGACGTCCCGAATAGCCTGCAGGCGTAGTTGATGTGAGGCATAATCTATTGTCATCGTGACGAGCTGGTCTTTTTCCATGTCACACTCGATGAGAAAGGATCCATCAGGTGATAATGAGACAGAGTGCAGGCATGAGGGCTTGCTCTGATGGCCCGAGGCAGCGTGGACGTGGACATGGGATGGCTGATCCGAGCAACCGGTGTCATCGAGAGTAAACAAGACTGTTGTGGCATCGTCGAAACGGCGCTCAATGTGATACCCTGACTGGGCATCACCGGCGACGGTGGTGATACCAGTCCGGCTCGTGAAATGGGAAACAATAACCATATCCTCAGAATTGGCGAGGGCGATGCCCGATGGTTGGGTGCCATAGCTGGGCCAGTGACCTCGCTCAGTCAAGCCGCCTGTTGATGGGTCCATTGAGAAGGCAAAGATCTGGCCACCATTCGGTACTTCGTCCGTGAGGTACAGCATGCCACGTTTGTAGTTAATAGCGAAACTGCCAACGTTCAGCCCGGGGACGTACGATGCCACGAATGTGAGTGCTCCCGTGTCATTGTCAAGTCGGAAAACATGTAGGCCCTCATGCTTTCCGGGTTGAGGCATCACGAAGCTGCCGACGTACACATACGTTGCGGTGGTTGAAGACATAGTGTCCATTTTTCGAAAGTCCTAGGATAACGTTAGTCCAACAGCCATGAACAGCGTTACGTAGGTGAGATTGATTTCTTACTTACCAAATAGATTTTATCACCTTCATATTATTTCTGGAAGGTCCGATCGGCACCTTACATAACGACTACTCAGGATAGGCGAGACGAGCGAGAGATGCCTTTGCTAGTGTCGGCTACCGGAAGAGCTCGCCGCACACCCAGGCCTTTAGCGAGCCTCACCTGGTGGAACATTCATGAAGAAAGACACATGGGCAATGGTCTGTGTGTGTCAGCAGGCATCAGACCCCACCAGCCATGTCAAGCAGTACATTCTTCAGCGGTAATTAAGGGTATGGGTTATAACTACCCCGCGAAGTCCCCGAAATCTGGGGAACATTGGAGGGTTTGGCCCTAGTCGCATGTCCAATTCGCCGATCCTCGCATTCAACAGCTCACTCTAACATGGAGAAGAACTCTTCTCTGAATATTGAGAGGGTTAGAAAACCTGACCAGCATGAAGCGATGTTGCTAGAGCGTGCGCATGCTGCCAATGCCGCTGACCATGCCCTCACCTGGTGGAAAGCGATATTCAAGTACCGAAAAGCCGTCTTCTGGGCGTGCATCTTTTCGTTCACCCTTACTATGCAGTCGGCTGATGCGACTTCAGTGAGTTTGGTTACAGTGCGAGGAAGGCCCGTACCAAGTGGGATGCTGACCTTGAACAAGACTACTTCCTTCTACGGTCAGACCCAGTTTAAAGAGAGATTTGGCACCGTAGACAATGGCGTCCTTGAGATATCAGCCGAGTGGCAAACAGGAATCCAGCAGGCAATGGCTGTGGGCGAGCTAATTGGTCTTGCCGTAGCTGGTTTTTTGGCCGACCGGTTTGGGTGGAAACCAATCCTGAGTGGTATGATGGTCTGGCTTACTGGCAGTCTCTTCCTTTTTGCCTTTGCAGAAAACCTGGGGATGATGGTAGCTGCCATGGTTCTCTGCGGTAATTCCTGATCCTACGTCTCCGCTGCAAAGAGACTGACGATCAAGTCAGGGATCCCGTGGGGCGCCTTTCAGACAGGCTGCATTGCCTACTCTTCCGAGATGGTCCCAACTTGTCTTCGCCCTTTCGTCACGGCGTGGATAGGCATCTGTTGGGGCCTTGGCTTCTTTATTGGCTCATTAGTCAATAGAGGCTGCTTGAATCTGATCGGCCAGTGGGGTAAGTATCCCCTACATCCTACCATTAGATTATTTGTAGCTTCCAGTGACACAGAGTTAACCCAGCCTGGCGTGTGCCCTTCCTTGTTCAGTTCGTGTGGCCCGTTCCCCTCCTCATCTGCTTTCTTTTGGCCCCGGAATCTCCCTACTATCTAGTTCGCAAAGGTCGCTATGAGGACGCTCGTGCGACCCTGCGCCGCATCCGACAAAAGGATATAACGGACGAGGAAATTGAGCAGTCCATCGCGCTTATTGACTACACCAACAAGATGGAGATTCAAATTAAGGAGTCCAGTAGCTACGCCGAGTGCTTCCGAGGCAAGAATCGATGGCGGACAGAAATTGTAAGTGGCGATCGGTATGATGATTTACCTCAAGGGATATTCACAATCAGAAGGTCTGTATAGTTCAGATAGCCCAGACTTGGGGCGGCAATGGCATCAATGTACAGACGGTTCAGTTTTTGGAGCAGGCAGGCCTTTCAGAGCAGGGCGCCTTCGATTTGAATTTGATTCTCAACTCTCAATACCTCACATTTGGCCTGTTCTGCATTTGGCTGATGACTAAATTTGGGCGTGCAACTATCTTCACCACAGGCCTCATTCTAAGTGACGTGTTCTTATTCGCCATTGGGGTTCTTGGGTGCGTCGAGCAAAGCACGGCTGTATCTAATGCGGTTGGCTCGCTTCTTCTCGTGTCCACTGTTATATATATTTCGACCGTGGCTCCGTCTTCATACACGATCATTGTAAGTCACGCGGACATACATTCTAAGACGAGTACTGACATAAAACAGGGTGAAGTGCCGTCGAGCAAACTCCGAGCTAAAATGGTGTCCCTCGCCCGAGTTGCCTTCAATGTCTCCAGTCTTATTTCAAATGTTCTACTGCCAAAGATGCTGACCGGCGGGTCCTGGAATCTGGGCGCTAAGACGGCCTTTATGTTTGTCAGTGTTCTCTACCCTGACCATTTTCCTGCTAATTCCTGCTGATATGGGTGGAAAAAGGCCGGTACGAACGCTTTGATTTGGATCTGGTGCATCTTCCGTCTTCCCGAGACCAAAGATCGAACCTTCCGTGAAATTGATTATCTTTTTGAGGAGTCCGGACTACACCCTCGTCAGTGGCGTACGGCAAGGATCGATGTTTTTTATGATGACAACAATGGCCCGGGCATTGTTGTGGGTAATAAAGAGAAGGAGTTTCAGCATGTCGAAAATGCTCTCTAGGTATGATTGACAGCAGCGGACAACCAGACAAACAGCAGATTGTCGCGGAGAGCTATTGGTGGTGGAAAATTGGTTACTCGGGGATAGGAGAGGAGTAAAGTTGTGTTTTTCTGCATTGGAGTCTACAGTAGTGAGTCTGTTATGTGTCGATAAGTCAAAATCGGACATTCTTTATCACCCTCCATAGTCCTACGTATCTACGATCCAATAGAGTGATACTGTTATGATATCTTTGTTGGTTTGTGCTGGAGCGAAGCGTATCACACTCTTTGATGCTCCGTCTAACACTCAGACATTTATATATATCTTCCATATTAGTGTTGCTTCACATGTGTATGGAAATCAGAGTCCATGCAAAGGTGTCACCTACGCTCTATTGTCTGATGGGAGGCAATTAGTGCCAGTAGTTTTATACTCTCATTAAACGATGATGTGCGACTTCTGACCGTAAGTATCCGATCAGCCCGCGATGTTGGTAACATTGTATCTTCGCAAAGCTGCGAGCGTCACCTTATGAAAGGATTAGTTGGAAGCATCGATTTGAATATTGATGTTGGCAGATATGTCTATCGGGGCTCCGTAACGAGCCTTGCGTGCACTGATTTATATGTTTTGCGGATACCTACGTCTACCAAGGCTTCTGGGATCTAACATAGCTTGTCCAGAACTGCTCCTTTTCCGGTTCCGTGGTTCGTATTGTCTGCCACTCCCCACCTAGCTCCAACAAAGTGTGGGGGTGTTCAATCAGGTTTGGCCAGGAAGCAACCCCTTCCGGACTCTCATTCTCCCCTGGACGGCCGTTGGGATTGCCATGTTTGATGAAATTGGCCCAAAGCGAGGACACTTTATCGCCAACGATGCGATCGGTATTACTCCAGGGCCGGAGGTTATTGGTAATGAGGCTGTTGAATGTATAAGCAAATTCCGCACCATGGTAAGCCCCGGTAACAGGACCTTTCTGGTTTGTGAATCCAGGAACCTTTGGCTGCGAGTAATCAGGCTGCCAGTTGTTCCAAGGGGGGATGGGATGGGTGAAGTAGTACCCGTACACGGACGAGGCCGTTTTCTGATGATACTCCTGGGCCCAGAGCGTGATATTGTTGCGCGTGTTATCTCGAGCAGCACTGTTCCATGCGTCCAGAGGACCCTTCCCTGTTTCATGATCTGTGGGCTTGTAGAGTTGATGGAATAGCTTTACCCACTTCGAGTCACCTTGACCGTATGTCGAATGCGGCCCAAGACGACTCTCCACACATTCAAGGAAGTCCTCGTACGTGAAGCGAGGCTCGTTGTATGTGCCTCCTTCTTCACTGTTCATGCCAGCTAAGACTGGAACGTCATTAGCCGGACCCTCTGCGAAGATCTGGTGCCAGGGCTTTGGGATGACATATCCATCGAGGGTCAACCGAAACAGTGGCGGGGGACCCCAGCAGCGAGGATCTCTTCGGGTGGACAACTCGCACAGCTTGTCTATGTCATTGAACTCCCGGAGCTCTTCGATTGACTGCAACCCCAGCTCTTTGAGGAGGTGCACGCCATCCTCCTCTGCCTGCTGTAGGGTACGATACGACATGGGGCCATTAGCCACGGCGGGCTCCTGGAATGACCGAGGTCCGGACTGCAAGATGACACCATGAAGGAGACTTTTCGTCAGGGGCGACACAAGCAGGGTGTGACACATGGCATTACCTGCCGACTGTCCTCCTATCGTCACTTGGTTTGGATTCCCCCCAAAGGCCGCAATATTGGACTGCACCCAGCGAAGCACCTCGATGGCATCAAGCATTCCCATCATTCCGGAAGTGCCTGACGGGGACTCCGCGCTTAATTCCGGATGGGCGTAATAGCCGAAGATGGCTAGTGGGTTTAACGTTAGCAATCGCGAGACACTTCGCCATCTCAAGATTATTTCAGGCTTCAACTTACAAAGTCGAAAGGAAGGGACAACAACAATAACGCCCTTCTTTGCGAGGCCCGTGCCATCGAAATTGGGATCGGCGCTGCCACCCTCTCGAAAGCCACCACCATGGAACCAGACAAATACAGGATACGGCTTCTCATGCGCTTCACCGGGCTGGAATACGTTAAGATAGAGACAATCCTCGGACTGCGGATGACCTTGGAGAACATTAATCCAGCGGGGGTCAGGGGGTGCCTGTGGACAAATGGGTCCGATCTGATGGCATTGCTTGACACCTTCCCATGGAATTACAGGCTGTGGAGGCTGGAAACGACGGGGCCCGGTGGGCGGAGCGGCATAAGGAATCCCGAGGTAGAGGGCGATGGAGGCATCCACGTCACTTGTCTTGCCCTCAATCAGTCCTCCATTAATGGCAACTGGAGGAAACGTGGAAGTCATGTTTATGTGTGAGTTCCTACCCCAAAAGGACGTGCAGTGAGAGTAAAGCTTGGCGCTGTTCATCGACACAAATCACCCCGAGGCGGCCCCTTATTAAAAGTAAAGTAGGATTGTCTACTGAGCTCGACGCTCGGACGCACTGGCGGGTTCCGAATCGCCAGACCAAGCTTTGATTTCCCCGGATTAATTCCCCCGCACTCGATCGGATCTTATAAAGCAGCAGCCGACGCTCGCCTCTGCCAAGTTTCAACATCTGTTCGTCCCCGCCCTTTCTGTAGCCCGGGCAGCGGTAAGCAAGCTGAAATCACTCGCCTGTCTCCCGCTCAAACAAGGTCCCGTTCAGAGCCTGCATCTCGTACACCAGCAAGTGAGTTAGCTGCCCGTCAGCTTGCTGCTGGTCACACTAGTCCAACCAAACGAGGGCTAGCATCCTGTTTCCGTTACTCCGGTGCAAGCTATGCCAGAGCCATCCCAGAAGAGAAAGCGGGCCAAGACCGGTGTGTTCCTCGCTACAAAACAGAGGATGACCAAGACAGCCACTGATCCACCAGTTAATGTCGCACCCAGGCTGCTTGACTTGTCGTGCCCGTAAAGTCAAGTGTGACGAGACCCGGCCGCGGTGCATCCACTGCGGAAACCTTGGGGTGGAGTGCCGCTGGCCCGAACCTGCAACGAAGCGTTTCTGTCGTGTCTCAACGCCGTCTTCTTGCAATACTCAGGAGCCTCAATCCATCGCCACGGGAGGGCCCCGATTGTCTGCGTGCTTCTCTTGTCGTTATGCCCGCTCGAAGTGCTCGAAAGATCGACCGATATGCGCCCGCTGCCGTGCTCAAGGACATGAATGCAAGTATCCCGAGCCTCAGGGGTCCCACTCTCTCACATCCTCGGCGCAGTCCTGGATGAGGAGACTCCAAACGGCGGAGCTGGGAAACTCCGCCGAACCCTCGCATCCAAGAGCCCTCACCAGCCTCACTAGCTCACCAGAACCAGAGTCTGCTCCAGGACATCCCGAGACAACTGATGATCAACGACAGAGAATACGGCCAGTCGATGCCAGTCCCCTGGAGACATCTGATAGACTAGACGATATTGTCTCCGCTCCTCGTGGGAGCCAATCATCCCCACTACAAGCTGTAGCAGGTGCCGTTGTCACGCCGGGCCCATGCATGGGCATTCGACCCAGCCAGGATAGTATCGAGCGTCTTACTGTCGCTTTCTTCCGACACGTCCATGTATACCGGGCGAACGCCTTCCTGCATAGGGATCAGACCCTGATGGCTATCCGTGACGGCACACTCGGTACCCCGGTCGTCCTGGCCCTGTGTGCCGTCGGGGCGCGTTTCACCTCTCCGCCCCAACCAGACGACGTGGTCATCAGCTGGGCCACCGAAGCGGCCAACTGGGTCACAACAGCGACCGAGGTCTCACGAGACCACGTTGTGGTTGCCCTTTTGCTCGCTATCTACATGCAGCAAGCTGGTCGATTTGCCCAATCCCATCTTTGGTCCTCCATTGCCAATAGCCACGCAGTCAGTCTGGGTCTTCATCGCGAGCCCGCACCCGGCACCTCTTCTTTTGTTGAAAGTGAACGCGACCGGCGCCTGTTCTTTGCCTGCTATGCCATTGGCCGTTTTATATCCAATGGAGCTCCAGAGTCAATTCAATGCCCCGCGTCCCGGATCAAATTGCGGCTGCCATGTGACGGCTTTAATTATCGCCTCGACGTGAGCATCGAGACGCCTTACGCGAGCCTCGAGGCAGACGAGGCAGAGACCTCCGGCCCTAACGGCATGCAGCGGAATGTTGGGGCCATGGGATTTTGGGTGCAACTTGTGAGCGTGAGGATGAAAATTAAGCGCTACTTCCATTCCCTGACGGAAGACAAGGAAGAACGACACACACATCACCAATCTAGTGCCATTGGCACGGAACTTGCCCCATGGGGTGCTTCCTCCCCATTCGTGATATCCTTGACACAGTTGGCGTCGCTGTCTGAGTCTTTGCCCCCACGGCTGCAGCTCTCACGTGAGTTGGTGCTTCGACGGCACGATGCACCTGTTTTGGGTCAGATTGTCATGTTTTATCTCTGGTGGAATGAATGCCACCTTGAGCTTTACAGTATCGCTCTTCACGGATATCCCCAGTCCCTAGATCCGACGGTCATGTCAACCGCGCCTGCTGGTTGGATTGACCAGGCCCGTCACAACTGCTTGCGGCACGCCCAAGCTATCACGGATATTTTAGACCTTGTGGACCGAGAAATGCCTCGCCAGCCGTTAACTATCTCGGATCACACCATTGCGCACGTGGTTTATTTGTCTGTGCGGGTACAATTGGAGCTCTTGGTGCCGACACTCAAGGATGCCGGGGTGCGTCTTGAATTAAAGAAAAAATTCGACATGATGCTGGGATTCGTAGAAAGGACAAGCAAATATTTCCATCAGGTGTTCTTGGTCGTAAGTCTTGTCCCACATGTCTGCTGTTAGATGTAGAGAAATTACTGGGGAGATCTGACGTTTTACATGCCACAGCTTCAGGAGATGCGCCGTATGTTAGCATGCCACGAGCTTGCCTCGGGAACCTCCGAGAGCGAGGATGCGTAAGTCAAGCAATTCCGTCTGCCCCAGTCTTCTTTAACCCCCTGTTCAGGTAGCATCTAATAGTGTTCTACTGCTGATGGATAAAATAGAATATCTCAGACTGCATCTTTGCCTTGGTTCTGCCGTCAAAAAGCGCTGGATTCCAGACGAGCTGCCGAACAAGCTGGTATAGTGAGTCTAAGCCACTTGTGCCTGGGTAAAGGCCTGATGTTTTGCTAACCTGAGAGCCCGGACTGTCTATCAGACTGCAGCGCACCTCCAAGTAAATCTCGCCGAAATTCTGCCTGATTGCATCCCATTTGGCACAATGTCTTGGGTCCGGGGGTACGACGTCAATGATCCTTGCCGACTTGTAAGTACTTCCGACTCAAAAGGCATTTGTGCGTTGCGTATATATATGTATATATATATACATTATTTTTGAGACTAATTTGACTCCGTCCATCCAGCCCGAAATATCGGAAGCGTCATGGGATATCTTGCCCAACCTGTGGTTGGGAGGCCCGCCCAATGGGCAAACCACACACAACCCTGTTACAGGTATGACTGATTTTAGCAACCTCGGTATGTTCAATACCTGGGGACGAATGGATCCTAGTGGGACTGTGAGTTGTCTCCCTTAATATGTGTCACACTGCAGGCCACAGGAGGAGCTAATGGCATGAGTAGGGATCCCGTTTTGATCCACTGCTTCCTAATCACTCGTTCGCGCATCCCAATGCAACGGGTCCCTGTGGAACTTCAAACGTCATTTCTTCGGACGCTTCCTTCTCGTTGCATTCATTGGACACGTAAGCTGTACTCAGTAGTCAGGCTTGAATCTAGCAGCTTGTGGATTTGAATCGCATTCAGTACGACTTCGAACAGAGCGAATATTATTGTCATATCATCATGGCAGAGCTGATTGGGAAAGGTTTCTATGGTGATAAGGGAAAGCCCTCTTAGACGTCTCTATTTCCTTTCAGGAAGCGTGGTCACGCTTAGTTACCATCGAAGTCTTGACTAATACAATACCACTAATTGTTAGATCTCTCAATGTACTCTTGCCCATTCCCATACTGTTTGTAAGTGGTACGGTCTAATTCCTGCATCATGGTCGTTGTTCGGACGGTCTTGAAGAGTAATGATCGCTACAACCGGCGATGTGCGCATAAACCTTTGCGCGGCTGGCCCGAGAGGAACCAGGCCATCGGGAAAAGAATTATCGTCTGAATGCTATTTGACATTTATATGCAGGAAAACCTCGGTTATCAGGGGGCAAATTTGCATTGGAGCTGAGATAAGATTAACCTTGAACGTCAGCTGGCGACGGTCGCCTCTGGTCCTCTGCCAGATTCAACGGTGTATCTGCACTGATGCTCACACGTAGCCTCTTTAACCCCAGTACTGTGAGAATTAGTGTTTATATAACTCCTTTCTACCAAGGCTAGCCGGCAGAGGGAAATGTGCTGTAGGGTGATCACGAAAAAACCGTTCCCCTTAGAACTATGGCAAGCGACCGGAAGTCAACTACGGTGATAGCCGCCCCAGGCAAGTGTGACAGCCCCGAAGTCCATCCTCATCCATCACCTACGGACTATGCTGTAAATGTTGTGCTTGACCCTGTTGCGTCCACACACGACAAGAGCTCTGGAGACGAAAAACATGACGGCGATGACAACCACAATCAGGGCCGGCGTACGGTGACGAATGGGCCAGGCAAACAACTTCAGACGCAGACAAACTTACTGCCCATGAAGCAGTTACTTGTGGTCTTCTCGGGTCTATCGATAGCTATGTTATGTGAGAAGATACCGCTTCCAGCTAGGGATACTGGCGAGCTCACCTGACTTATACAAAATTCCCCCAGGCTCGATGCTCAACCAAACTATGTACGTTTATTGCACCCCTCTTGTTGGCGGGTATTTCAACTTCCGCCCTAACTTGAACACACACCCAAAGCGTTGCAACTGCCCTGCCTACCCTTGGTGCTGTTTTCCATCAAGCCGATATCGTCTCCTGGGTTGGTACCGCGTACCTTCTAACTTGCACGGCATGTCAACCACTATATGGCCGGTTGACAGACATTTTTGGCCGGAAGGTAAGTCTCCCAAATCCGACTACTCAGCAGTTTTGTCTATTATGCAGCATCTGACGGAGCTCAAAATTATAGTTCATCCTCTTGGGCTCGCTCTTTCTTTTTCTAGTGGGAAGTGTCATTTCCGGTGTCTCGAGGGGCATGATTATGCTGATCATAGCGCGTGAGTTATGGTAAATTAATTGATCTCGCTGGGTTGCACGCTAATGGCATTTACACTTAGGGGCGGTGGCGGGAATCGGTGGTGGAGGCATTGTTACCGTGGTTAGCATCGTCGTATCTGACGTTGTCTCCCTTCAGGACAGGGGGAAATATCAAGGGAT